CCGAACCGAACCAATGGCTTATAATTGACTTATTGGTATCGGGTTATGGGGGTAATAGATGGTGAATAAATTGAGATTTTTAATTAACGGCGTAACGGTTTGGAGACGGATTACTCAATTTTCTTATCGGATAAATTATTAACCCGTTAAGAATTTTTATATTTACACTTTTACCTCCGTATGCATGACAATATGTGTATCTTCGTTACGTAGTTGCTTTCTTCTAGAGAAAGTCATGACTTCTATGACAAGTCTTCATTGAGTATTCAAAAAATTTGTTCTAGAGATCGTTTTGTGTATTTCATGACAAGTTTTCATTGAGTAATGTACTGAGAATTATGAATGGTAAGTTGAAATGATAAAAGCTAGTGAACTATGCAGTTTGGCCGTTTGGTATTCACAAGACTAGGATTATTAAAAATTTTCTATTTGGTTTAGCCGATAAACAACCCGATAATTATTAATCCGATATCCGCCCATTGTCTTATTGGATGGCTAGCGGATTACTATATTTATAATTCGATAACCGATAAACCGAACCGTTAAGTGCAATTATCCGCCCGATATTCACCACTAGATATGGACATGTAGAGATTTGGGACACCAAAATAGGTAGCACCATGAGTGTTGATGCCAACGATATACCTATTAGCCTCCAACTTCCAACATAATATTTTTGGGATTTTGGCATGGTATGATAATGTACCTATATAATTAGTGGCAGGGTACTTTATTCCGATATCTCCCCCGAGGGTGAGTTAGACTTCCAAAAAAGCGCTAGTTATAGATATTGGTATCAAGTAGTCAATAAATGTATACTGAAATAATATTGTGTATATCACAATTATTTTTTGTGTATATCAACATGTATATTAAAATTTTATTTTCCTTTATTGTATATATAAAATATAAAATTATGTATATAATTATTTAAAATTTATTGTTGTCTCTATCAATGTGTATCATAATAAAAATAATTATAGTGTTTGTATAACGCAATGTATAACATATTGAATATGTGTATACCAAAATAGGTATCATAGGTTTATTTTTCTTCTTTGTGTATATTAAAATGTATATTAACATTTTATTTTCTTTCTTTGTATATCAAATTTTTATTTACTCCCATAATTATATTTTAGAACTTGCTCTAAGCCTGTTATATCAAAATTTTATTTTTCTTCTTTGATCAATAACAAAATTGAAGTAAGTTTGTTCAGAATGAATTTTCCCTCTTAAAATTAGTTGCACGATTTGATTCTGATTTTCCCTTATATTGCCAAATCTAACAATGTATATCACGATATACAATATGATGTACACATAGGTATACATGGTAATATATATAGATGTACACCACCTCAACCACACAATTTTTCTTTTTCACAATAACAAAAAAAAAACGGAAGAAGAAGAAAATTAGAGTCTGCCAAAGAGATATGAATCAAATTAAACAAAGTAACAATCAGATGAAGACGAGAAGAAAACTATATCAATTCATGAAAGCAATCACCTTTAGGTTTTTACGGAATTGCCGTCGTGATAAGAAGATCATAACTTCATAGAAAAATATATTCAACCATTACAACTTCCCAAACATTATCGAAGAACACATGCCCTTCCAATTCCAGATTGAAAAAGAAAATTAGCTAGATTGAAGAAGGAAAAAGGAAAAGACTGAAGAAGAAAATTGGAGAAGAAATATGGGGAGAGAGAAGAAAAAAAAGAAAAGATTGAAGAAGAAAATTGGAGAAGAAATATGGGGAGTGAAAAGAAAAAATATAGGGAGAGAGAATAAATTAGAAACTAGGATTTTTTAGGTTTTGCTATATAATGCCAATTTTTCGGACTATCTTTGCCAAACCTAATATAAGGCTAAAAAATTATCAATTCTCGTATGCGTTGTCATACCATGTAGTTTTTTTAATATTCTTTATCCCCTACCTAAAAGGTACAGATTTCGTTGAGGTATATTTAAGTTGGGCCTATTTGTTTCTGAACATTTAGCAAAGTACTGAACGAGGATTACTAGGCGTTGTTTCCTTTTTGCTAGTGCACGACATTAGAAAAAAATTAGAGTTTAGTTAGCTTTTTAAATGTATTAGCAAAGTAGCTACTAGTCTGACTAAATTAACATTTTTGCTCCCCATTAAAACACGCAACACAATTCATCAATCGGTATTGGAGTTAGAATCTTTGACAAGTGAAATCTAATAAACTATGCCGACTGAATGTTCAAACCTCATGAATGATTTTTGGGGTCCAAACTTTTATAAGTTCAAACTCTAAAAATAATTCCTGGTATTTGAATAATTACTAGAGCAAATTCCGATTTTTGATCCTTTACTAGTGTAAATTCTAAGAACGATTCCTGATTTAGAATTCTCCGCCACTAATGAAGGTGATGTTGTTGTCTGGATTCTGTACATGCTAATTAGCTTTATCTATTGCTTCGACATTTGGCAGTGATTGAAACACAATAAATAATCCAATGATTACTATGAGTCATCTATTTTAAATAAGGAAGGAAAAATCGCTGCTTCACGTCGAAACATTCCATCTGTAGCTCTAAGACCAATCAGAAAAAGTGAGTTTTAAAAAAGATTGTTGGGAACAAGAAAGTGCTGGTACTGATTGGTCGAAGACTAAGAATTGCAACAACTGAATAGTGAGAACTAATTGTTTTATCTAAAAGAAAAAGTGAAAGACAATAAAACTGTAAGAACGACTCTGTATAACTCCAGCAATGTATGCTGCAGTACACCTTTAAAATACTAGAGTTTCAAACTCTAGCATGCAATACTAGAGTTTCAAACTCGAGCATAAAATATTAAGAGTCCGTTTGAACTTAAGAAAAATTTCACTTTTTTTCAAAAGAATTTCACATTTTTTTAAAATTAGTGTTTGGCCATAAATTTTCAAATTTTCACTTGAAGATTAATTTTGAAATTTTTCGAAAATTTAAAAAACTCCAAAAAGCTATTTTTCAAAATTTTCACTCAGATCACTCACAAAACTTAAAAAACAACCCAAAATTATATTCATGTCCAAACACAACTCTAGTTTTCAAATACCATTTTCACTTGAAAAATAATTTCACTTTTTTCGGAATTTTATAATTCTTATGTCCAAACGCTCACTAAATTTTGTTGGGATTGGAATAATAAGGCATCGTGGGAAAGCTAATAAAACAAACTCTAGCGACGATAATAAGATGACAAAAATAAAATTATACTAAAAGAGAATATTATAATGTGTTTTGGTCAATTGGCCTGTTTTTAATAAAAACTAATATAAAACTGTTGAGAGAATAATCTCCTCCTAAACAAAACTCTCTAACAAACTACACTGTGAATGTTGTATTATTATTATTATTATTATTATTATTATTATTATTATTATTATTATTATTATTATTATTATTATTATTATTATTATTATTATTATTATTATTATGAGGAGGAATCTTCAATTTATAGAAGTGTAAAACTTCTCTTGCAAGAAAAGGATAAGGCACATGAAGGAAATTTATTCCTTTTACAAGACATTTTCCTTTCCTTCAAGAAAGAAAGTCCTAATAGATCAGAAATTCTGGGCAAAAGCATAGCAATTCTTCCATTGGCCTGAATTTTCTAGCAATACTTGATCCGCCTTTCCACATGCATAATCTTCCTCACTGCTGCTTGTCATGATTAAAAATAGATATAGGTTAAAAAAATTTAATATTGGTTGAAAGAAGTCCAAAAATGAGTTAAAAGGAGCCCGAACATTAAGAATAAATATGAGTTAAAATTGACATTAGTTAAAAAAGGCTCATGCGATAAAAGAAGCATGAGTTAAAACTGGCATTGGAGCCAATAAATATGGGTTAAAATGAATTTTGTTTTAAAGATGCAATAGGAATGTTAGATATATAGCTAAAACTTGAAAGTTTGTCTCTAAACATATAGTATTCTGGATATTATTTTTTTTAATAAAAGTCTTCATTATTGTCAAATTGGGTTACGGTTTGATTTGAACCCGCCTGAATATATTTTCAATCTCGTTTCGAACCATTGGCTCTATATCACTTATTGGGATTAAAATAATAATGTGTCATGCGAAAACTAATACAGCAAACCTTGGCGATGATAATCAGACGAGAAAAATAAAATCATACTAAAAAAATATTAAAATGTGTTTTGGTCAATTGACCGACATATGATAAAAATAATATAAGAGAAAATATAAAAACTATTTGGAGAATAATCTCCTCCTAAATAAAATTCTCTAAAAGGCAACATTTGTGGAGGTTAATGTTATTATTATTGTGAGGAGGGTTCTTCAATTTATAGAAGTGTAAAACTTCTTCTCCAAGAAAATGATAAGGCATATGAAGGAGATTTATTCCTTTTAGAAGTCTTTTTCCCTTCCTTCGAAAAAGAAAGTCCTAATATATTAGAAATTCAGGGCAAAACCCTTGCATATTTTCACATAAGGAATTTTTGAACTCTAGCATAGTATCCTGGAGTTCTTACCTGTCTTAGATATGAATATTATTCTCTAAATATTAGGATACTATGTTGGAGTCCAAAAATTCATTTACATGTCTTAGGTAGGGATATTATTGTCTAAATATTTTTTCGTATGAAAAAATAACTAAATACTAATAATATTTTAAATACCGGCTACTCTAATAACCGAGTTTAAAAGTGATTGTGTTTTTAATTTTTTACACGATATCGTTGTTGTTTGACCTCACGGCTCTACCCTTTTCTTGGCCCAAATCAACAGGACCTAGTTGTGAAAGCGATCCAATTCAGATTGGGTGAATGACACAGTTGTAATGCCTCTCATTAAATATAAGGGTAGTTAAGTAAATTGAAAAACAAAAAAAAGCTAATAAAACAAATAACAAAGAGTATGTAAATGGGCTTTAACCCATCAACAACGTGTTAGGTCACTAGGAGAAAACAAAACAAAAGTTAAAAGGGATTTTGTAGGAAAGGCGTGCAGCACTAATGCTGCGGCTAAACAGAAGCTATAGAACGAAAAAAATAGACTCAGAGAAAGAAAAGGGAGGAGAAGAAAAAGAGGTTGGAACCAAAGAGGTTGAAAATAGGTAACAAAGTATTCTTATAATTTTATTCTACTGACATGATTTTATAAATATTGTCATGGGTTGAACTAAAGGGTAATAACAATGATTTGGATATGGAAGTATCAATTTACTTGAATATGAGAATACCCATGAACTAGAATCAGATTTCATTCGAGATAGGTTAAGTAAAGGATTAGTCAAATTGGATCAGCTATATATTTCAAAAGTTTGGGTGAGCAGACAAGATGCTAAGTTAATTTTTCTGTTTGTACTCCTTTAATTCTATTAAGAAGATATGAGGATGTAAACTCAATACTACTATTTCCTCCATGTTTCCAATATACCTAGTAAAGAAGTTTGAAGTAAGGTTTGAGAATAAAAAAAATGCATTCGCAAATAGATGTTTATTTAGATGAATGAATTGTGGAATTGATGGATGGTAACACTAGACTTATATTGATTTATAGATTTACACATGAGTTGAGCATTTGGATCGATAAGAAGTCGAGCTTTGGCTAATTCGCTTCTAGAAGTGAGTAGTAATCTTACTACAATTTGTGTTTTCATAACCTGCATGGTTTATTCATTATTTTGAAAATAAAATGTGTTACCAAATGTTTGATATTGCATGTGGACAAGTCTCTTACTTGATATAGTACTTAATAGTTTACTTGAGATGTTTACAGTTATTTAAAATGTTCTCACTGTTATTAGACATGTTTTACTATTACTAGAGATATGATTACCGTTACCGAAATTGGATTACATGATTTGATAAAAATGGAAATGCCCTGTACTGTTTTGAAAATGCTTCCATGTGAAGATTTATTGTTTATAAAGAAAAGTATGAATGGAAGAAGACTTTGAAGGATCCTGTAGCTAACAGCGGGTTCGTTAGACCTGATGCACCTTGTATTTACAGATTATCGATTAGCCCTCGCTAGTGGGAAGATAGAACTAGCATACCGTTATAGTTTTTCCTCAAGTAGGGACCTACAAGTTAAATTTGACTTCTTTTACGAAGGGGTTCATATAGTGATACAGATAACATGATCCTTTTCTTGGAAACCTCCCAAACATAAAAGTTTGCTATGAGACAGTGTTTACCGAGTTTATTACCGAATTGTTAATTGATTTTTATTTACATGAAACACATGATGAAATGGATTATTGTTTATTGTTTCTGAAAGGTCATTTTTATGATATTTTCGGGTTAATAGGCATGTTTTCTAACTTGTCCCCTATTAAAAATGGTTGTGGTTAAGTGTTATTACTCACTGAGCTAGCGACTCACTCCCCGCTATTTTTTTTTTTACAGAGGGACTAGTTGATGCGAGCGAGAATTTCGTTAATTAGAGTACACGAGTTGCTAATTTTTTGTGAGCTCTGTACTTGTTCGCGTGGGCGAATAGTTTATTTAATATTATTGTATTTTCTTTTGAACTCTTAGAGTCCCTCCATAGTCATTCTTATTGGTGTCATGATGATTCATTCGTTATATTGGACTAGTTACTAGTATTGCACTTTCTCTCCATATTTTGAGATGGGTTTAGTATTATTATGTTGGTAATGGTAATGTTGGTGAAAATTCATTTTGGTTAGTTGATGAAGATTATGACTTATTTGGGTGAATATAGTTGGTTGTTAATTGTTTATCAGACAGGAAAACTTTTGGATAGTCTTAAAATAGGGAAAACTCTGTCCGATTTTCTATAAAATACCGATAAAGCTTACTTGGGGTACTTGCTCCCAAGTGCCGGTCATGATCCTAAATTGGGTCGTGAGTCGTGACAATGGTTACCCATAAAAATAAAACTATTTACCTTTATTTACCCATTTATTTTTTTACCCATCAAACTAATTATATTTCCTACTCATAGTAGTTTTTGTGGAGAATTTTCTCTTTTTTCTTCAATTCTTTTTTATTTCTATGCTTCTTTTCTTTTTTCCTTTTTTTCTTTTTCTTTTTCTCGTTTTCTTCTTATTTTTTTCTTTTCTCTCTTTTATTCATTTATGTTTGCCCAAATCGTATTATTGTTATTTTTACCATAACTTATTTCACACTCAATTTTGACTCCTTATTTATTTTTTATTTTTTTTTACTTCCTATTCCTTTTCTAATTCCATTTAACTCCTTTTTTCTTTTATTTTCTTATTCATTTTCTAGTTTCATATAACTTCTGTTTTATATTCTTTTTTCTACATAATCTAATTTCATTTACTATTTTCACTATTTTTATTATTTGTAACGACCCAACCGGTCGTTTTGAGCATTTGCACTTTGCTCGGTTATTTACGGGCATGAGTAAATTCGTATAATGTATTATGACTTCTGTGAATCGTCGGTTTTGGTTTTCAGGTTATTCAGAATCGAATTGGAAGAATAGATTTCATGGTTGGAGCTTTAAATTGGGAGAGATGACCAAGTTTGACTTTTAGTGAATTTGAATCCGGAACGGAGTTTTGATAGTTCAAGTAGGTTCGTATGGTGATTTTGGACTCGGGCGTATGTCCGAATTTACATTTGGATGTTTCTAGAAGGTTTCGGCATAAGTTGGCAAACATTGGAAATTTGAAGGTTTAGAAAGTTCAAAAGTTAGACCAGAAGTTGACTTTGAGGATATCCGATTTAGATTGTGGTTTCGGGAATTGGAATAGCTTCGTTATGCTATTCGGGACTTGTGTGCAAAATTTGAATTCATTCAGGGTTGATTTCCTATGTTTCGGCACGGGCTATTGAAGTTGAAAAGTTCAAAGTTCATAGATTTTGATTTGAGGTGTGATTCGTCGTTGTGAAGTTGTTATGTGTGTTTTGAGGCCTTGAATAGGTGCGTATTGTGTTATGAAACTTGTTGGCATATTCGGACGGGGTCCCGAGGGGCTCGGGTGAGTTTCGGACGAGGTTCAGATTATTTTATTGCATTTATGGATTTTTGCTAAGCTGCTGGTTCTGGTGTGATCGCACCTACGGCTGGTTTTCGCAGGTGCGATGGTCGCAGAAGAGACAGAGGAGTCGCAGAAGCGAGGTGTGAACTGCTAAGGAAGACCGCAGAAGCGAAAGTAATGGCGCATCTACTTGTTCGCAGAAGCATAAGATTAGCCGGATAAGCGGCGAGTGGCGTAGGAGCGGGAGTTGGTTGGCACACTTGCGCGTGCGCAGAGGCGGACAATGTTTGCAGGTGCGGAAGAGCCGGCCTCTATGGGCTTCGCAGAGGCGAGATTTTATCCGCAGAAGCGGAGGTCGCAGATGCGACATTTTAACTGCATATGCGTAAATGCTGGGCAGAAATCATAAAATCGAGGCTTTGGTTCTTTCTTCATATTTTGAGATGTGGGACTCGGATTGAGGCAATATTTGGAGTAATTTTCATCACAAAGATTGGGGTAAGTATTCTCTACTCGGCTTTGGTTATATTTCATGAATCTACCTTTGTTTTTGGTAGTTGGATTGTGAATTTTAAAGAGGAAATTGGGGGGTTTGGCCTAAAGTTTTATAATATGAATTTTTGAATTTTGAACATCGAATTGGAGTCAGATTTGAGTGAAACTAGTATGGTTGGAATCGTAATTGAATGTGTTGTCAGATTTTATGAGTTTTCTTGAGTTACGAGGTGCGGGACTGGGTGTGAGTTTTGGCCGATTTTGGATTTTGATTAAGGATTCGATCTTTATCATTTGGAATTGTTTTCTTGGGCTTTATTTGATAAATTTGAGTTGCTTTTGGCTAGTTTTGAGCCGTTCAGAAGTCTCTACGCGCGTGATGGCATCTTTGGAGCATCGCTTGGCTTGCTCGACATTGGTATTGGCTTGTTCGAGGTAAGTAACTCTTTTAAACTTAGTGCTGAGGGTATAAAATCCCGAAATATGTGTTATGTGATTGGTATTGAGGTGATGCACATGCTAGGTGATTGGCATGTGGGTGTGCACTATGTGAATTGGGACTGTTGTTTCCATGGCATTGTATAGTGGTCCTACTTTGTTAATGTCCGTGTTTTTACCATGTGATAAAGTAATTGAGCTATTAATCATGCTAGATATCATGTTTAGGCTTTATGACGATATTGCTAGGACCCATAGTGGCCGTTTCTTGCTGTCATTCCACTGATTTCATTGATATTTCGTACTCAGTATATTCATGCAATAATATCATATCTCAGTCTCAGTTGTTATTTATTGATACATCATATCATTGTTGTCGGGCTAGTTTCATGACATTGTGAGCCCGTGAGTGAAACTGTAGAGATTGATGACTGAGTGAGGTCGGGGGCCTGTTTGTGAGGATATTGATACTATAGCACGTGAGTTGTCTGTGCATCACATGAGTTGTCTTTGCGGATCCAGATATTGATATTATGGCATGTGAGTTATCCGTGCAGCACGTGAGTTGTTTGTGCGAATTATAGCGCTTGGGCTGTAGGAGCCCCTCCGGAGTCTGCACACCCCCAATGAGCATAGTTGATTATATATATGTATATGGATCGGGTTGCATGCCGCAACGAGCCTTATGGCTATATATATGTGGATCGGATTGCACGTCGCAACGGGCCTTATGGTCATATGTAGATTGGGCTGCACGCCGCAACAGGTATTGTACAGTGATGAGTGTTTGAGTATGCTGAGTATTGAGCATAGTGAGAGGGAATGCGAGACATTGAGATTGAGTACTCTGAGAGTGTGAGTAAATGAGCTCATCATTGAGATGCATTGCATTTGACATGCGTACTTGAGATACATGCATAAAGATACATTTCCTTCTACGGTTTTGGTGACATTTATGATTTTACCTGTATCTTGACATGTAGGCATAGAGACGTAGTTTTCTCATGCTATCTGAAAATGAAACATCTTACTTATTATTGAAAGAAGTTTTGGAAAAAATCACAGTTTTCAAACTTACTCGTATTTTGGCATTTTTGGTAAAAGATTTGGATTTTCACTGAGATACTTGAAAAGAAATGCCTATTTTCTGGAACTGTGAACGAACTCAGCATTTTATTTCTGAGATGCCTCTTTAATTACTTGTATTATGCTATTATGAACCGTTATGGAATATTGGTGTTGAACTCGACCTTTGTGTTAGCTCGTCACTATTTTCAACATAAGGTTAGGTTTGTTACTTACTGAGTATATGGGGTCGGTTGTACTCATACTACACTTCTACATCTTGCGTGCAGATATTGGCTGCTGATGTTGCTGTGTTCGATGGGAGCTGGATTTGAAGATGTACCTGCATCCCGGTTGTAGCTGCCCCTTGTTCATGATAGCCTTAGATCTATAAAACTCTGTTAATGTATTTTTCAAACAGATGATGTATTTACTTTATTTCAGCTTTGTAAACTCTATTCTTAGAAGCTCATGATTTGTACTACCAGTCCTTGGGGAAATGTATAAGATTCAGATAATTTCTTTACTTAACTGTCTTATTAAATATCATTGGAATTGGATAGTTGTTAATTGGCTTACCTAGCGGGTTGGGTTAGATGCCATCACGACTGGTTGGATTTTGCGTCGTGACAAGTTGGTATCAGAATTCTAGGTTCATAGGTTCTACAAGTCATGAGGAAGTGTCTAGTAGAGTCTTGCAGATCAGTATGATGACGTCCATACCTATCTTCGAGAGGCTACAGGACATTTAGGATATACGACCCATCTTTCTTTCCTTATCGTGCGACATTGATTCAGCTTGAAGCGTAACTCTTTGAATTCCTTCCACGCATTCGTATGCGCCTGTGAGCGCTTGGTATCGGCTGTGCGCCGGCGGCTTGTGATTCCATGGTTGAGATGCGAGATGTGATTTTGGCGTGCTGATGATGGGCCAGTCTGGAGGACTTGAGGCCGGGTTTTGACGGTAGCTTAAGCACGGAGATTTTGATTGTGTGAGCACGTGCTTTTGGGACTTATAGGTCCGTTGGTGTCCCTATTAGTGAAATTTGTGATTGGATGACTATGTGGTGAGTATGATGAGACTGCGAGATGTGTTCAGATTGCTTGAATATGATGAGAAGAGTTTACTTGAGATCTAGCAAGGACTATGGGGTGTTTGATTTCTGTCTTGATTTGGCGTATGGTCTCGAGTTATGGGTATGTTGAGGGATCTCTCATGTTGTTTAGTTGAGGAGTGAAGTATATTCTCATGTCTTGTTGATGAGTTCAGAATCGAGAAGATTAAGTGATTGTGTAGCAGTCGTGACTGTGGAAGGGCATAGAGAGATGTCAGTTTGAGGCAAAGCATGTGGGTTATCTCCTACGAGGTGTCCCGAGGTTGTGTGATCCCTATGATTTTTTGTAGAGAGTTCTCTTTTACCAGTGAATGATATATGTTGCAATTTGAATTTGGATCGCTTGTGGAAGTTGGCTTAACCATCACGAGGATGAACGCAAGATTTGCAGATGATTTGAGGTA